TTTACTTAGGCAGCCAAAGTAGGTTTACTTAATAAAAAATTAAGAAAAGAGTAATTATGTTTAGAGAAAATTTGGTACAAATAATCATCAGAAAAAGTTAATGATTTGCGTCCCATTTATTTTATATATATAAAATACATTTTGCATATAATATATATATATATTTTTTGTTAAGATAATTTCTTTGATTTTTTAACTTTTATTAATAACTTTTTTGGTAATGTAATTCTATAAACTATTACAGAAAAAGTATACAATTAGTTACATATATAATTTTTTTATATTATCTATTTAAAAAGTCTACTCAAAGATTTCTTATCAATTGTTATATCTAACATTTTTGCTTAAATGTTCTATTTTAAATCTTTTAAATCTGCACTTGTGTTAACATTACTAAATCAAGTCTAGGTTATTGTCTTAATCTTAGAACTATTTTATCTTTGAAATAAACCTATTAAGGTCTTTTATATTTATTTTTACAGTTGATCTGATATTGTTATAATAGAACTAATATTTGTAATTAGAGTTATATTATTAAACTGCTATGCTTTTGTATAGTTTACTTAAATCTTAATATATATTTTACAGTATATTTCTGGTATTTTAGTATATCTTTATTTATTTTTTTTTTTTTTTAATGTTAAAGTTCTTATTTTTAGGATGTAATATTTTTATTCAAGTATATAGAATACAGCATATTACTAGAAGTTACCTTATATTGAAGGTTACAACTAGCCACATATGCACTTTTGATATCTAATTTAAGTAAGCTGCTTATATATTATTATATAAGTTTTACACTAGATGCCATACTTGCAAGCCAACTAGGAGTCTTGTCTATTTAAACTCTTTGTATATATAATCCTCTTTGTATTACAAAAACATCTTTAAGACTACACTTATTCAAGTTTCTGATGCTAGTTAGTATCCTTAGGACTATTTTATTCTTGACAAAAATCTTACTAGAGTCTTTATATTCTACATATACTAATCTAGTTTTATGCAATATGTTATAGTTATCTAACACTTGCAGTTATAGAGGTTACCTATTTAACTGCTATATTATACTATTTTTACTTTTGTAAAGTTTACTAGAACCTCAGTACCTATCTTCCTGGCATCTTCTTTATTATTTCTTACTAGCTGCAACTCAGAATTATTAGTCTTATTCCAGACTACTAATCCAAATAGCTTAGTATAGTATATTTCTATATTCTTATTCTCTGATGAGTCTGATGACCTAATTGGTTATATGCTCCTTTATATATATTTGTTATTTAATTTTAACCTTTAGTTTCTATGAAGATGTTTTGTAGACTTTAACTAGTCTGATAGTACTGTTAAAAGTTCATACTATCTCTTTACTTGAAAATTTCCAAGTAGGTTTTTATTATCTTAGTTTTTTAGTCTTCTATGTCTGGTAATTATATCATGAATTTGCACTAAAGTCTTATGCAATACTGATTATATATTTTTTTATATATATATAATATTATACTTCATATAAATGCTCTAAGCTTCCAATATCAGTAGAACAATTAGTGTTCTTGCATTACAGCCATATAAGACTAATTAATCAACAAAAGACAGTTACTATTCTTTTTACTGATTTGCAGGCAAATTTGCCTACAAATTTTTGATCAAAATTTTTTTATTAGTGCAACTTGCAAAAATCATAAGCTAGGCCTATATATAACATTATTGTTGGCAAAACTACTCACAAAGAGCTATCAGCCAATACTACTTTTAACTATTTTTAATAGCAAACTGCCTTTATTTTCCTTTTAGTTTAGCAAAATAATTTCTGCAAAAGTCATATGCCTATGTTATCTAGTTAAATCACAAGCCATTACAGGATGTGATGTTTATACTTATTAGTTATTAGATCTACAATCTTAAGTGCAAAATTGCAAACTTTTAAAAAAATTAAAGAAGTTTAACTATAACTTCTTCTCTAATCAGTTTGAGTTAATAGTTCCAAATTATGATAGAATAAATTCACTATCTTAATATTAATAAAATAATCAAATTAAAGATTATATTGATGGTATTAGTAATTAGCATTTAGTATATTGAGTTAAATATGCTAAAAAATTAACTTTAAACTTTATGATTGAATTTTAACTTTAAAGTTTGAGATAAGATTTTCTATAAATATATTATGGTGAATTTTACCTTCAGTGAACATAAGTAAATTCTAAACAATTAATCATATATAAGTGAAAAAAAAATAAGAAATTAATATTTCAGATAAAATAAACAAAATTACAAAACATAATTGTAACATTATGTATAATCATAAACAAGAAATAAGCAATAGTGACTCTGAATTTAGTGAAGATGAGCTTGAAGTGTATTTTTTACAAAATCATCATAATAAACATTTGATAGATGGCTTTCCAGTAAATCCCAAATATCTAGCTCAAGAAAGTGATGAGAAATCAGATCTTTAAAATAATTCATCTATGATACTAGCAGTTGATACTGTTAGAATTGGAGGCAAAGCAGAGGATGACCATGCAGATCAAGAGCTAATCATGATGATAGATCTAGTCAACAAATTAGTCTACCAAACTCACCAGAGTTTATTTTTTACAGCATAGACTTTCTTTTGTAAAAGAAAGTATCTAATTCTTTTTGGCCATTTATAGCAACTTAGAATAGTAACCTCTTTAATGTTATTTTATGGATTTTTTTCAATTGAATCTCTTAGACAAATAGTAGAATCAACAAATAAATACAGTGCTATTCAAAATTCAAAAGGTAAAGGATAGATATGGAATGTACTTAATATTAATGAATTGCAAATTTGGATTGCTATTGTTATTTACTGTATATAGACATACATAAAATATCACTACTTGAATCTCTCTGGATTAAAAATAATTAATACTCTATATACTATATTTCAAATTTAATGTCAATAAATCGATTTGAACAAATAAAATATTTTTTACATATACCAGATTCAACTAGTTTACATCCACATTGGTACTCAAAAGTTGAGCCTCTTGCTTCATCTATTTGAGATATAGTATATATAAAAGAACATACATGCCAAGTTTAAATATATCTGTAGATGAGATGATTGTCCATTTTACTGGAAGAAGTATACATACAGTCTGTATGAAATCTAAACCTATTCTCGAAGTTATAAGATTCTATCATTATGTGATTCAGGATATATATAAACATTTTTTTTTATCACGTATTGAAAAGGCAACAAACCTATCTACTGTTCAAGGTATTAATGAAATAGGTCAGCATGTTTGCTACTTAGTATTTCAACTTCAACTTTAATTATGGACTTTTACAATATATATAGACAATTTCTTTATATCAATTTCATTATTTCAACATTTGCGAAATAATGGAATTGGTGCATATAGAACAGTTTATACAAACTCTGCAAAGCTTTCAAAAGAATTAAAAATTCAGAATTTAAAATCTTTTGAATAGGATACACTTTCAGGTGTAGTTGTAAATAATGTGCTTGCAGTTTTTTGGATTAACAATGGACTAGTGACAATGTTAAGTACAGTTCATAATATTACTGAAAGTAAATCTCGAGTTAATTGCTAGCATCGATGTCTATATGAAACTAGTTCAAATGCTAAAAAAGTTAGAGAAATTTTTGGTAGCTCTTTATGAAAGCAGTTACCAATTCCAAAACTTGTTAATAATTATAATTACTATATAGGAGGTGTTAATATTGCTGATCAATAACATTTATATTTTCTTTCCCAACTTAGAACATGTCAGAATTGGTTTCTACTATTTTTTTGGCTACTTGATATATCAATTGTTAATGCCCATATTATTTATACAAATTCTAATAGTAATAATACACAAAATCCACTAGATAGTAAAGAATTTCATACACATCTTGTTTGGGAACTTATACAAGCTTCAGTAAGCCAAATTCCTAATACAAGAAATTCACAATATTCAATTACTAATCCTCCTGTTTCAAATATTAATATTGCTTATGTTAGTAAGAACTTCGAGCTTCCAACATGTTGACAATTGCCTAGCAAGCATTTTTTAGAGTAAAGGGATAAACAAAAGGCATGTATTTGGTGTCACTATTTTGCAAAGGAAAAACAAAAGGAAATTGATACTAAGAACTCTCTGCAAACAAATATGTGGTGCCATAAATGCAATATTCCACTATGTTGCAACAAAACAAGATCATTTTGTAATTACAAGTTTTATACATTTGGTAAATAATTTTTATAAGAAAGTTTTTAGGATATATACTTTCTTTTCAATAAGATACATTATAGATAAAGTAAAAACTCATTTGTAAGATTAGTATTTCTGAATTATTAAACTCACTATTGATTATTTATACAAATTATTTATATCATAATGATAAATAGTTGCATAGTAAGAATTATAAGATTATAGATTTGTTCATAATAATAAATAATTGTAAGCATAGTTTTTAGTTTGTACAATTTGTAATTCAGATAGAGTGCTTAAAATCAGTGTAACATGTTTTTTTATAATTAGTTTTGAATTCTTAGTTATATGCATTATTATTCTAAAATAGCAAATAAGTAGCCAACAGACTAGCAGGTTAGCATATTGAAAGTTTGATTTAAAGAAGCATTGTATATAACAAATATACTATGAATGTATGTAATTCTTGCATAATGAATGCTATAGATAATACCAATATTCTAACTAAAATACTTTGATATTTTTGTATAGAATATATTTTTTTTGAAAAATAATGCCTAAAAAAATCAATACAGTATTAACATATATGTTTTTAAGGTTAAATGAAAATATATAAGATATGTTTGCTATTAATTCAAAAAGCTTTAGCTGTGAGAGGCTAAGTTTTGGCTATTTTATTTAAGATTCTCCTGATTGGCTAATGGCTAATATATTTAATACTACAGTTTAAAATTCTGATATTTTGATATTTAGCAAATTCTAAACAGCACATCTGACAACAATTTATGACTCAGTTAGATTATTAATGTATATGATTTTAGTAAAGGTAAATATGTATGATTATTGAATAAATTTTTGCAAGCAAATTTGCTTTCAAAAGTCTACAGTAAAAGGAATAATATAGATATAATTTTTAAATTTTATCATAAGTGAAATTTGAACTTTAAACTTGCCACTTAAAGAATAACAATCCAACTATTGCACTACTTCTGCCTTTTTATCAGATTCCTAATTCAGATAACCTATATAGAATTATAATTAGTTTATTGGTATATTAAGTTAATCTAATATTCTTTTTCTTTAGTTTATTTTATTAGCCTAGTTGATAGTATCTCTGAAACTCTCAATCTAGAGGTTCTTGCTTAACTTAATATTACAATCTTGGTATCTATTTTTTAGGTCTAGCTTTTACAATAATGTTATTAAAAATTTGTACTATCTTTCTAAATAAACTTTCTGCTTTCTAATTTCAACAAATTTATATAGCTACAAGGACTTATTTAGAGTTTGTATTATCTAATACTGGTTTGTATTTTTTTATATAACTAGTTACACAAATGCTTCATAATCTGCTAGTCATATTGATGCAATTATTATTCTAGACATCTTAATCTAATCATTAGAAATAATTATTATAATATAAATATTATATAGGTAATTATTTAAATTTTTACTATCAATAGAATTTGAACACTTAACTTAGTAATTGAGAGGTTGATAACTTATCAACTTTACTAAATAACTACATCCTTGCATGCAATATATAAAAAAATTACAAAATTAAATAACACTATTAATAAATTCTAAATAATTTATTTTATGCTTTCTGTAAAAAAATTACAAAATTACTTTAAAACAAAGAAATTTTATTAAAGTTAGGTTTAGTATTAGAATTGACTATATTGATTGCATTAATTATTTTAATTGTTTAGCTCATAAAAACTTAAAGCAAGCTTATTATTAATGCTTATATTGGCTAATTTTTAATTAAATTTGCTCTTATCAAAGTTATTCTAGTATAATACAGATTAATATTAATTTTTATAATTACAATCAATATATTACAAATACTTACTAAATAACATATTATAGAATGCTTAATTTGATTTTTATTACAGACAATATTTTTTAATTATAAATTTAATATAATATTATATATAATTAATATGAAAGCATAATAATAATTTGTAAAACTAGAAGTAATAGCTATAATAAATGCAGTTCTTGCAATAATTACAATTCAAAAAACATTTTTATTATTTTGCTTATAGAGTGCACAATAATATTCATGCAATTTTTAGCTTTGCTTTTATCTTATTATATTTTTAGTACTAGCATTACTTCTAAAATAAAGAAGCTTTTTATGATTAAATATATTTCAAATTGCTAAATATACATTCTACAATACTGAATAATATAGGTTTTTTATTTTTTGTAAAAACTATTAAAAATTAAGCATTATAAAAAATGCTTAGATCTATTAAAATTAATTAATAATAATATAAAACAATATACTGTTAACCTGTAGTTTTTTTTTAACCACAGTGATAACAGAATCTGCTCAACTATAGTATAATGACTATAACTTGACAGGTTCTATACAAAAGTCTATACAAGACTTAACAAAATACAGAGTGATTTGGGATTTTAAG